CTCCTAATTGTACCTGTGAAGAATCGCCAAAAAAAGTTATTGATTTGAAACATAAATGTGCTGGTTTTGCTTGAGAGCCGGAAAAGGATGTTTTAGATACTTGATTTTCCAGCGGTTTATGACCACTAACTACTATTAGCCAAGAACCAAAATTGCTTTCTCCTAATCCCCAATATTTTCCGATTACTCACTTGATTACTGGTTATGATATCCTTTTTTTTTGAGTATTAAAAATGATAATTTTAGGTTATTACTTTACTGGTAAGCCAAGTTTTCAAAATATTTATCTTCACGGCTTAATTCGCGATAGTCAAGGGAGAAAAATGTCTAAATCCCTGGGTAATGGTGTGGAACCCGAAAAAATTATGGAAAAATATGGAACCGATAGTTTACGCTTATTCCTTTTGGAAAATAACATTCTGGGGGCGGATTTAACTTATGAAGAAAGCAAAATTAAAGGTGCTTATAATTTTCTACAAAAACTTTGAAGCATTGGTAATTTTATACTTTTAAAACTAGGAAAAGCAGAATTAAAAAAAATTAGAATTGAGGAGTTAGAATTGGAATTAACTAAGGAAAATAATAAAGAATTGAAAATAATTAATGGGTGAATTTTAATGGAATTAGCAAAATTAAAAAAAAACTATTTTAAGCATGGAGCAAAGCTAGAAACCAGCCTTTTAGCCAAAAAATTAATTAATTTTACTTGACAAAAGTTAAGTAATGATTATTTAGAATTAATAAAAACAACGCTTTGGAGTCCCGCCACTAAAAAAACTTTGCTTTATGTTTATCAACAGATTTTATTATATTTACACCCTTTTATTCCTTTTAGCACGGAATTTCTTTACCAAAAAGTTAGCCAGCAAAAATTATTGGATTAAAAAAGAAACAATTATTCACCCAGCACTTCTTTTTCCTGAAACAGAAAAAATAATAAAAATACCTTATAAATGAGTAAAGATATCACCAATTATCTAATCCACTATGGATTTTTATTCCCTAATGCTACTATTTATGGCGGCTCGGCCAAAGCCTGAGACTTAGGACCCTATGGAACCGAATTAAAAAGAAAACTAAAAAATTTATGGTGAAAATACTTTATTACTACTAGCCCCTATAATATCGGTTCAGATAGTTTAATTTTAACCCACCCCAAAGTTTTAGCCGCCTCGGGGCATTTAAAAAATTTTCATGATTGGTTAATTGAATGTTTAAATTGCCAAAAAAGGTACCGTTTAGATAATTTAATTTCTCCGGCGGAATTTGCTGCCTTTTTAGCCCAAACTAATAAACAAAATTTCCCTTTTTCGCCAACTTGTTCTCACTGTGGCAAAAATAAATTTACTAGTCCGCGGGAGTTTAACTTGCTTTTAAGCAGTGATTTACAGGCTACTAGCCAGGAAAAAAAAAATATGGTTTACTTGCGACCGGAAACTTGCCAAGGAATATTTATTAATTTTGCCGCTCTCCAAAGAAGCACCCGCAAAAAATTACCTTGGGGGGTTGGACAAATTGGCAAAAGTTTTCGCAATGAAATTACGCTCCACCATGGCATTTTTCGCACCCGCGAATTTGAACAAATGGAACTAGAATTCTTTACGGCTAGGGAAGAAGGGGAAAAATGATGAGAATTTTGAAAGCAAAAAGCTTGAACTTTCCTTAATAAACTTATTAACGACAAGGAAAAAATTAAACAAGTCTCCTTAACTCCCGACGAATTACCTCATTATGCTAAAAAAACCACCGACCTCTATTTTCAATATCATTTTGGTTGGGGAGAATTATGTAGTATTAGCGACCGAAGCGATTACGATTTAAAAAATCATAGCCAAAAATCCGGGGTAAGGCTAGAAACAGAAGGAATAATTCCCCCGGTTATTGAAGTATCTTTTGGGGTAGAAAGACTGCTACTGGCCGTGCTAGAAGATGCTTACCAAGCCGAAATGGTAGAAAATTCGCCAGCCAGCAAAAGAGAAGTATTAAAAATACACCCTTTATTAGCCCCTTATTTGGTGGCGGTTATTCCTTTAAGCAAGCAACTACAAGCCCAAGCCCAACAAATTTACCAAGAATTATTAACGGAAACTAATTTTACTACGACTTATGAAGAATCGAGCAGCATTGGAAAAAGTTATCGCCGGCAAGATGCCATTGGCACTTATTATTGTCTGACCGTAGACTTTCAAACTTTACAAGACGATACAGTTACTATTCGCCAAAGAGATAATTTAAAACAAATTCGGCTTCCCCAACGGGAAATAACCCAATTCCTTAAGCAAAAATATCATTATTACTGACAAGCATGAGTAAAAAATTAAATTATATGTTAAAAAAAATTGATACGGAATCAGAACCAGCCAAAAGAGGGATTTTCAAGTGAATAGTAGGAATTTTACTGCTCGGGGGAATAGTGACCGGTTGCTTTTTTATTTATCGTTATTTAACCCAGCCTTCTCCGCAACAACTTCAACAAAACAGAGAACAAAAAGAAGCCTTAAGCAAGCAAATTAAAGAAATAGAAAAAAACATCAAGGATAATCGAGTTAGACTAGAAAAATTGAAAAGAGGCGAAGAACGCCCGCCTTGGAAAACTATTGATGAATTTGGAAACTTTTTGGTGGATTCTTCCGATAAAGAATTAGTAGAATTAGCCAATAAAAAACAACAACTTATTGAAGAATGAGGAAAATTAAGGGAGGAGTGAAATGAAATAATCGATAAAATTAAAAATCAGGCTAGCAGTGCTTGAGAAAGACAAAAAAATGGGCAGTGAAAAATGCTAACGGATAAACTTGATAAATCTCCGGAAGTTAAGGCTCGTTTTGATAAATTTATTAAGACTTTTTACCAACGATTTGGAGAAAAAAAAGGAGTTAAAATTTATGAACCACGGGTCAAATTTTACGGATTCGGACACTTTTACATTAATGAGGAAGAAGCTGACTCCCCGACCGCCGAGATGGGCCATACTGCTACTCCCGAAAATGAAGAATTGCTAGTTAGTGAGACATATGAAGCCTTTAGACTTCCCATGGAAATTAACCTTAACCAAATCTACTTGCTAAATCACGGAAGTTTAGGAATGGATACATTCTATCCTCGCGACCCCGACAAGTTTGGCGGATTTAGTGTTAGTTTTGACAAATTAACGGAAACTATGGCCCATGAATTAGTCCATGCTCTGCAAAATATAATGAATATTGATAAGGGTAGAAAAAGCCTAAAAGAAGGCCAAGCATTATTTAGTCAATGTGCAAGTAGCGGAGAAAGAGAAGGAGGAAGACCTGATGGAAAACTTTTACATCCCGATTGAGCGGTTGAACATGCTAAACTTACTACCGAAATTCAGCAAATGATTGAAGCCTCTCCGGAATATCAAGAATTTAAAAAATGATGGCAAAGTCCTAAATAGTTTGCTAAAATTTAGTATTACCCTACCAAAAAATAATTTCCACTTCGGTCCAAAGAAAAAAACTTTTAACAAGGGCGAAATACTTGCTTAAATCTTGCTGATTAATAGGCCGGTAATTTTATACTTGATATCTCCTCGTTGCTAGGCTTACATTTTCTCACCTAACCCTTAAAAGACATTAAAAAGTTTCTGACGGGATTTAATCAATAACTTATTAATTAAGGTGGCTAGTATAACCAGCCTAAAATTGCTTAATTTATCTTTAACTCGCTAAGCAACAAAATATTTACTTATTTTTATTTCTTTTTACTAAATAGATAATTAAGCCAATTATACTTCCGATAAGCAACACACCAATAATGGAAGTTAGGGCTCTGGTTTTGGTGCTTTCTTGTTCGTATTTGTTAAGCAAAGTTCTAATTTCGTCCTCTCGTTGTCTCCGTTCTTCGGGGGTTTTGGCACTGCGAACATAATCTTTAAGGGATTGGTTAGCGGAAAGTTTTAGTTGATTTTTGGCGTAATTTTCTTGACTGTAATTTAGGTCCGCTAATCCGGCTTTTTTCTTGTTCGGGTCGCTACTTATTTTTTTGATTTTTCTTTCCAAAGCCTTTTTTTTCCGTTCCACTTCCCTTTGATTAGCACAAGAATTAATTTCTTCTTTTCAATCTTTAACCTTTAATCCTTCATTAAGTTGTTGATCTTCTATTTCCTTTAAATCCAAAAATCACTCTATATGATCAATGGCTCTGTCTTTGTCATCAACAAGTTCATTTTTTTGTTCATTAATTAACTTCTTACTTTTCAGGATACCTATGTATCGGTCTCCTTTACGATAGGCTTCTTTTCAATTTTCAGAATGTTTAATTTGTTCTCTTCAATTACTTCCCAACCATTCATTGGCTTGCTGTTCGGAAAGTTTGTAGAGGTTAAGGTAAAATTGTATCCTATCAATAGTTTCTTGCACGGCATCTTGGGCAAGTCCTTTATTAAAATTTTTATTT